AAAAAAAAAAAAAAAAAAAAAAAAAAAAAAAGAAGAAACACAGAACTTGTATATCTAAGACAGAATAAAAATTACAATCAATAGGAGATAATAGTGAAACTATTCCGATGACGTAAAATTCATCCGAATTATTCATTTGACGTAATCCTTCGAAAAAAAAAAAGCAAGAACAAAAGTGAAAACTAAACAAAACAAAAACAAATAAACAGATCATTAAAATTCCTTTATCTCACCTTTAAAAAATAAGAACAAGATAAATTTCAAGAAAACAATGAAGTAAACAAACTCACAAATTTTTCAGAAACCTGACCAAGGCTGAATAAAACTTTCATTTCCATGCATCTCAAAAACAAGTCAGGAACTGAAATGAAACTCTTAACCTAAAGAAGAAAAGCTAAACGTGACTACAACACAGCTTTCCGAAGTAACGCATCAAAAATTAGAAAAATTTAAACAAGAAGAAAAAAGATCGGAAAAAAATTGAAGGAGATAGTTAAGAAGCAAAAAAATGCTAAAGAAATGATAATTTCAAATTTTTAGAATCAAGTTGGACAAAGATACTATTTCAAAACCTGACAAAAATGAATTTTCAACATATAAGCCCAAAAGGAAGACGACTCAACATTATAAATAACTGTCTGAAACAAATAAGTTGTTCAAGCCAGTTTGGTCAAAACAAGCAACTGAAATTTCTTAACCAAACCAAAGTAAGGAATGAAAACAAGCACTTACAAAAATTTAACAATCAAACTTCATACAAATGAAAATGAGGCACGCGAACAGAAAAGAAGCCTGTCGATTTCATTTCTGCAAAGAAATTATGAACTTATAAAAGCACGGTAATGTTACGAAAACCAAGAATACAGAGAGAGTAAAAAAAGAAGAATTCGCTTAGCTTATGTTATGCAAACGAGCAAAACAAATGTACACTAAACTTAGAAAAGAATTCGAAAAATATCCATATTTTGCATCATTATTGTGAGACCAATACGAGAACTAAATTAAGCATTAAATCAGTTGAATAGTGAAAACAGTAAAAAACAATTCAGAAAAAAAAAAATTCTGCACCTCCGCAAACAAAAAACTCCAATCACAGAATTCAGTAAAAATAGATGAAATAAAGGCCTAGCAGACGAGCTTCAAAGGTAACATTACTTGAGGGCCAAATTCAAGAGTCATTTGAAAAGGCTCGATAATTGGTTACGAAGAAATTTTACAAACCTAGAATCCACATCACTGAACTGGTATCTGCTGGATATAATGATATCGACACCGTCATTTAACAAGAATCGCGCAATTTAATTGTGTAACAAGTACACTTTAAATCTAGGTGGAACCACTAAAGACCCTACTGTAAAAATGTTTTCTTTGTGCCTCAAGCTAAAAAGATGAACTATTACTGAATGGCTATGGTCGCTTTACGCAATTAGTTACAAAAAAACGACTTAAAATACCTGCAATTTAGATAACAACTCAACTTCTTCCTCAAATACAGTGAAGCACACGCAGCGAACCTTAAGAATTAGATGCACTAGATAGAAGTTACGATTTTTTTAAAACAAACTGAAACTTTAAGCTACAAACTAATCGTGAAAATTTATTTTTTTCTTTACACGTAAATGAACTTACAACACAGTAAAGCTTCACTGTAGCAGATTTCAGTCTCTCATAATAAATAACTGTATTTCTCGCCTAGCAAAGCTCCGTTGTTTTAAACGGAAAAAATTTGCAGAATAGTCCGTTTACATATCAATGACACTGAATTGGCATAAGGCCAATTCAACGGTATATACAAATGTGGAACTACTAGAAAGCGTTGATAATGACTTGCAGAGTAAAAGGACTGATAATCTCAACAGCAGAATATTCCTCATGTTTAAGTGTACGTTCTAAATCAAATAAATTAAGCGGTGAAATTGTTTTAATTGTTTCAAATAAACATATTCCAAAATATTACATCTACTGAAGTAGCTTTCTTAAAACTCAAACTAATTCATCAAAAAACTACCTTTACTTTAAAATTCATTAGGCACATAACAACATACGACAGTAGTGAGGCGATACACTTTGGGCGATCAACTATCCTGACTGCGGGCAATTGTTCCTCAACATTATCTACCAAAATTTCTCATTAGTTTTCAAAGCTGCACTAGCAGTGTAGTAGATGGGGTCAAGAAAAAGATAAATGAAAACAGTTTTGCCTTAAAAGCGTCAAAGAACAAAATCAAAGCAAGCTTTTAATAAGAAAACATAATAGTCAAAATGCACTGACCCATCTTCTTTTTACATGTCATAATGGTTTTATTGATATGAAGTGTTAAGACCAAAAGCAACATTAGGGCTAGAGGGTAACCAGATGAAAGGTGATTTAAAAATCGACTTTTTAGCTGTGCTACCACCAAGAAAAAGGTGGCCAAACACAAAAATTCAAAATCCTTGCCCCATTCTTAAGTGTTCCAAGTCTGCTGTCAAACAATATTCATTCTTTGCAAACAGTTGGCAACTAATATAAATTATACTAAAGAAAATGTTGAATAATGAAAAAAAATTAAGATAAAAAAACATGTAAACATTAATTATGTCAAGGACTTTTGCGGTGGGAAACAAGTAAACTGATGAAACTACAAACTGAGATCTGATGGCTTTAATGCAACAATTCATGTAAATGTGATGAACAAAAAGATTTGTCTGTGTAAGTGAAAAAAAAACGGCATTTATTATCAGAACGAACAGACATCCAAAAACTCAATTGTGAATTTACTGTTTGGAAGGTTGTTTCACTAGAACTACCATTGACAACACAAAACTTTTTTGATAAAAATTCTTTTTTTCTTTTAAAAATTTAATATTTACTTTATTTAAAGCTCCATAAAGAGTAGAAAAAAAAAGGAACTAAAGCAAAAAAGCTAGATATTGACATCAGTGAGTAAAAAAAAAAATACCGATGTTTCCACACAGCAACTCTGTAAAGAATCATAATGCATACTGTTCATCAGTTAATAAAAAACTACTCTAAATGATAACAGCAATAACAGACATATTTAACATACAAAAAACAATAATTTAAAACCTGATAAAAAAAAAGTACCAATAAAAATCTTGTATAATCAAACACAAAAAAAACTGAATGAGCGAAAAAACAGGTAATTATAAAGACTCGAAAATGTATAAACCTCAATTCCAAATTCATACAGGATTTGCAGAAAACTCATTATTCTTCATATGTCTGAGTTGGCATCCAATGCAATTCCCAATAGCTAATGCTCTACAGTCAATATTGTGCTGCTATTTATGAATTATTACCGACGTTAACAAAACAGAAAGAAGATATTGGATTTACGCCAACACTGTAGTTTGTTTTTTTCGTGCAGTTCAGACCTCTTTTTTCTTGGGCTTCTGTTGACCGATGCCAGTTGAAATTAATCCCAGCCGTTGCTGAGCAGTATATTTCACCTTTGCTCCATTAATTTCTTCTCCATCTTCTTATTTCCTTAAGGAGGAATAGAAAATTATTAGTCTTTGGAAACTTTTTTAGGCATTTGGGCTTTATATGCGTATCGTCCAGCACTTTAATGAATTTCTTTGCTTCTTATTGTTTTTGTGTAATTCATTCTTTTCTGCACGGGTGTAGCACTGTTGTCTGATATTACCTACCCATATTTCATTTAGACCCTTTTTGTTCTATTGGCACAATGTTCATGAAACTTTGGAATTCCACAAAATATATATTAGAGACTGCGAAAGGTACTGTTGTGGTACTGTTCAGTCCAAATATGAAGATTCCACCAACAAAGATGGATGCACATATGCCACCCCGACCGTGGACAATTGCCGAATGGGTATGTGGTAAAACCTCATCTTGCTTGTTTTATGATATCTTGATTTTGCTGCAGTTTCATAGCCTTTTCATGCGCAACGTCCCATTTATTTGCACTAAGCTTTTTATTAGCGTTTTGGAGAAAATAAGGAATTGAAAATCACAATTCCGACTTAACCACACTTTTCAGATGATATCATTTCTTTGATTGTTTAATTCTGTTTTTTAACTTGAACGATAAACTCTTCAGCTGCATGTTGCTTCGGGAACCCTCATAGTGAATTGACTTTTATGTAGAAATTCTAGGACTCTACGGGACCTAAATTTGGTGGATTAATAGTAATTATCGTGGTCGCGTAACGCCTGTTAATTTCCTTTCATTTTTTTAAAATCTTTTTCGAAGGGGTTGCTTAGAGGTTCCATCAGTTTGAGACGCGTACATAGAATTAGATGCATTACTCAGTCCTCCTTACCTGCTCATTAAAATTTTGCAGTTAATTGTGCTGCAGAGATTTTTACTTTCTATTCGTGATTTAGTTTTGATTTTTGAATTTCTGAGACGATCTCGCATTGTAAAAAGCTTCATTGGTTTCAAGAGAGATAAATAAATTGTACTAAGGCGATTTATTTTGGAAAATCAGTAATCATGACAATTATTTTTAGATCCGAATGTTTGCGTGGCGTTATAACTGGCAATATTTTCCAGTTCTTCGGTTTTGGGTATTTTCAGCGTTGACGGTCTATATAATGATCAAGTTTGTTCTCCCAAGTAAAATTTTTTTACTTTTTTTCTTTGCTTGAGCGAAATTGTTTCATTTTTTTATTGGTTTGTCTTCTCATAATGAATAAGCTTGTCATCCTCTTTTATATGACTGCTTGGGTCGAAGCTTATGCCCAAGTTTTGTTTTTATTTGGTAGTTAGTCTTAATTATTTTTTTAGTCAAACCACACCATATGATCGTACTCAAAAGCTTCGAACACAAGATCCATGAATTAGAACGTACAAACTTGTACGGACGATTACAGCACAGGGAAGACGATAGGTATTTCGAAAAAATCTATCCTCCCAAGGCAGTTACAGAGTAAATTCTCTTTGAAGGATCTGAGGGCGAAGGTTTAGAGATGCGTGTAACTTAGCTGTTTTTAGATAGGTTTCATTGCTGTGTTTAGTAATTTCAATAAATTCTGCAGGTCTCTTTATTGGATGCATTATACTGTTGTTGAGAATCATAATTATTAACATTACCCTAGAAATTATTACATAATGCAAATGTGCAGTTATTTTTCAAAAAGCAAAAATCTAGTTGCTTTTCTATAACCGTGTATGAACATGTGAAATCCTCCACTTTTGGTTTATCAAAACAGTTGTTCAGGTAGGTTTGTTTTTGAAGATGCCAGAGCTTTATACTTATTTGTTGTCTTAATTTATGTTAATAATTCATGTTACGATAGTCTTTAGGCATTCTGGCACTTCAATTTTTCCTTTGTTGTGAAATGGCAAGGGTTTGTGATCGAAAACTGTGAAGGAGACAGTGTTGCGAAAAAGCAGTTGAATCTAAGCGTGTGATATTTTTTTAGATTTCTGTTTATCAGTGGTAACAAAAAATTCGAAAAAGAGTACAATTTTTTACTAGGGTTGTGCATTTATAATGCGGTTCTTTTACTTTAAACAGCGTAGATGTGGCGAAAAGCGCTTTGGTTTTCTTCGAAGTCAGTGAGTTGTAGGCAAAGAGAGTGTAGCAAGTGAAGGAGGAATGATTATACTTCTGATTATCAAGAATTCTCTGACTAGAACTTCACTCTTAATTTTGTCTTTTTCGATGGGACCAGAGATAACCTGGCGGGTGACCACCGAAGTCACAATTTTCCTTGTACGAGCTTTTCGAGATGGCGTCTTCAAAGATTCTTTTTCGTACCTGCTGTCTCATCGTATCATTTTGGATGTTTGTGGAAAATTCTATTCAGATGTCCACTAATGAATATTGAAATGTGGTAGGGAGTAACAACTATTTACAATTTTCCAGCTGCTACTGCCACCTTAATTTAGACGGCATAATTTTGAAAAATTAAAGACGCTGAGATGTCACAGTACACTACAGTCAAAAGTTATCTTGAGCACATATGGATGTCTTAAGTCATTCAGATAGACAGTATAAAGTTGAAAATATGGGTCTAAAAACGTTTTAGTCAACTACATGTTGGAAATTGATATTAACAGACATTGAGGGTGAAACACTTTCGAAGGCAGGAATAATAGAGGCTTACTCTGCTTAGTGATTTCCTGCGTAACTTGTTATGCTATATTACTTTGAACGTAGTAAATAATCTTCCCTTATTTGTTCCACTTTTACTTTCTTTGAACGACTACTGTGTAAAATTACGTTTAGACATTTAAACGAGACATAAAAATTGGTGGTGACTAATTGCCATTATGGCGTGTCAGCCATAATCGATAGAATAATTACTGATTTCTTTTGTCTAGATTCTCGTGTCACAGTTCAATATGTTCTGGAATATGTAGCATATCATATTAGTAGTAACTGATTTTCGTAACTGAAGTGTTTCTAACTGATTTGTATAGCCATTTTTTCATTAACTTACCGACTGCCTTAATTTTTGATTCAGTATGATTTGCTAAAATTTTTGATAGCTTTTTTTTCGCAAAAACTACTTTAAGTATCGCGATAAAGTTACAGACAGCAGTCTCCTGAGATAGTCGAACAATAATTTGAAGCGATTCATTGTCGAACAAACTTTGTATCAGTGCTCTTAAGCTTTGTTCGCCAACAACTTGAACTGCTGATCTCCTCTGATTTGTCCGTTCAAATAGCTAATTGCATCCACGATGGAAAAGCTTTTAAAACTTTGCAATGCAGAGTAAATATAAAGCCAGAGAGAGCAAATCAGAAAAAAAATTCAATTACTAATTGAATAGCACAGCCACAGCTTCATCTGCCGTTATATTTCTGAATTTTTTTTGCTTTGTTAGTATTATTACCAATAATAAGCTTCAAAAGAATTATTAGTTAGGTATAATTCTTGTTAAGAATTTTATTTCTTTTCCTAAAACTTGTTCTTGTTAAGAAGATTTAAATCAATGTGTGAGACAAACTACGCAATATCTGGTAGCTGGAAACTCTAATTCGTTACCTACAGTCCATCAAAAGAGTTTTCGAGGTCAATAAAATTTGTTGTGTATTGTAAGCCAGTTATTAAAAACGTGACAACTCTCTTTGATAAATAGGAAAATGGAAAATTTACAACTTTCTGCACGTAGATAAGATTTTGTTGGACCAAGGGCTATATTGCAAAATCGAGTTGAAAATGTTGAAAAAGAGGGGCCAGTTAGTTGACCTAAGAAAGTATAAAGGATTCAGAAAATCAGCCACAAGCCCTAATTTAGCAGAAGGCGCACTAGCCGGTTATTCTGTAAAGTACAGTAGATATATAAAAATATGGCCCTATGAACAGAGACCTTTTTTTTGGGAATGTGTGAAACAAGATTGAGTTGGTCGCTGTTTGGTACTTGAATTCTCCATCTTTAATCTATAAGCATGTAGGAAATACCTATTCTCCACAGTGAGACACAAACACAGATATTACACTGTTTGAAAACTTCCCAAACTACTCGATATTGTGTTGATAAATAAGTCAAGCCCATATGTGTAAAACTATGAGTCAAAATTAAGGAATAACCCTACTGCTCTAACTGTTGAACCAGTATTTTTGCTTTGCGTCAAATAAATCAAAAAATTTTTAATTGGGTCGTCTACTGTTCATCTTCCTAATTGCGGTAGTGCCTGCCACAGTTTCTAATCAGATGAAGTACAAAAAATAACTGTAAAAATGTGCTTGCAATTCTTAAAAGTAGTGAAAAAACCTAATAACGAGCAAATGAAAGGGATACAGGAGAACTGCAAGAAGCTTAATGTTGGGAACTATTACTTTGCATCTCATTATCAAGAAAGTTCGCAGTCTTGTCTCGCTCCACTTTGATGAAAGATGAATTACAATGAGAAGAAGCAAACTAAAGCTACTGGGACGGTAAAATGTAAAACGATAAAAAAATCCTTGACAAGGAGAATGGAGTCATTACAATTGATACAAAGTTTACAGGAGAACTTCTGCACCCGCACCTTACCCAACAACTATGTTGAAACAGTCTGCGGCCGTCCGGACGCAAAGAAGGAATTCTAATCTGAATGCACTTCAGACCGAGGCAACCTGTGTCATTACCAAATTTCAGTATTTTCGCATTTCGCTACCTGGTAGTGAAATCCCACCTTCACGAAAGCAGAAAGATATAAAATTATTAGCCTTTATGCATACTGTTGCCAGAAAAGGCCGTTTGTACTTTACATGGTGATACCACTCAACAACTTTTGATGAAGAAGATACGAATGGAAAGCAGAAAGAAAATGAATAAAACAGCCTTGTTAGTTTTGTCTGAAAACTTCAACACGTGGATACCAAATTTATTTGCACACGAATCTTTAAATAGAGTAAAGAGAAATTTTAAAATTTGAGCTATAAAGAACTTGATAACAACTTACTTCACGCCACTACTTCAAGCTAAACTTTCATTTACAAGGAAGCACCTCTTCAACAGAATCCTGTGAATAAAACAGTAAACTCAAATACAACTTTAATAAAGCAGACATTATCACGAGGTTGTCAACATTCAAAATGAATTTATTAGTGGATTAGTAGAAAAATGAAACTTAATATGGAAACAGCAGAAGAAATAGCGAAGATAATATAAAAACATTCATAAAAAGAACTTAAAGTTATAAAGACAAAAAAAAGTTTTTTTGTGTAATCAGAAAAAGGGTTTCACTCAGTTTATTTGAAGACCTTTTGAAACCCATGCTTTAGCTGTGAAATCAGTATTGAAGAATCGTGGAAATTTTTGAATCGGACAAATCAAATAATCGCCCTTTGTGAAGTTTTATAGTTGTCCCATTGCTTTGGTAAGAATCCCATACCTTACTTAGCTCGCACACAGCGTGATGCTTATTGCCCAGTGGTGACCTATAACTTCATAGAATCAATAACATGAAGCACATTAAGAGCTTAACAGGCGACAATTGCAAAGCTATAACAGAATCTAATTATCACATTCACTGTTCATTCTTTATTATTTCAGCTCATGCCAGACACCCGAAGGTTCTACGCCGAAATGTTGATTTTAAAGGTTACTTTTAATATTTTGCAGCTGATATTTGGAAATTTTCTCATTGTTTACTTGATTTTTTTATGTTAAAGATTCCCAGTTAATAACAGCTAAATACATGAGGCTGTAATTAGTAAAGTGTACCATTAAATAGCTCTATATTTGTTTTAAAGAATAGATTTTCAGACAAAAAATGTAGCTGCGAGTAAAAACCTACTTTTTCTATAAAAATTGAATTTATTTTTTCACAGATCTTTTTCAAGTTAATGTAATCACGACTGCTGTTACAGAGGAAAATAATCAAAATTTTCTTCTCAACTGAAAACTGTGGGAATGGCATTCTAGAATAGCGTCAACATTAGTGGAAAAGGTAGTCTGTTGTGATATCAGCCTCAGATAAGATTCGACAGCCAGTACACTTTGGTGTGGTTACTGGGTTACTTGTTTTTGTTAATTCTTCTGTTATTTTTCTTCACTCTCGTTTACACCGTGATCCTCACTTAAATTAGGCTAGATCTAAGAATCCTGCTGCAGTTTCTGTAATAAAAGTTTGCTGTTCAACTCGATACAGAAGTACTTAACAGTTTGTTCGTTTACTGTACTTTTCTTGCAGTTTTTCTTTTGAAAGTTCATATTTTAAAATTTACTTATTAGATCGTTTTAGCGATTAAAAAATTGTTACTTTTCTATTGCTAATAACATTTTAGAAAAAATTGGTGGTGGTTGACAGTTTGTAAAAGTTTTAAGATAAACCTATATGATTCGGTTGAAACATCACCACTTTCTAATTCACTTTTATTTGTCAAATTTTTTTGTTCAGTTTAGAAAATATTTAAATTGGTATGCGACGGCTGTCAAGAATTAGTTTTCTTTTTTTTTTTGATATTCTCTAAAAAACATCTTTTTTTTCTGCTAATGCTTAAGTTATTTTTTTTTAAGTTGACTGGTAAAAGAGGGTGAATAGACAGTAGAAAATTATTGCGGCTTTTTCAGTCACCGTTTTATTTGTCTCAATCGTCCAGGGGAAATCACATAATCAAGATAAACCCTTTTCGTTTCTCCATCCATTATTTTAGCTACAGCTTTCATTATACGTTAGGTTGGTTAGGATTGTTTATACTTTTCAAGCTGGAAATTACCTTTTCTTTTTTTTTCTGTTGAAAAAAACTAGCCTCTATTGTCGCTTTATACAACAGTTAGCTTCTAGCATGAGGAAGGGAGATAAGGAGGAGAAACACAAACAGAATTAGTAGGAGGACAACAGAGTAATTTGGCCTCTAAATGGCACATGGGGAGGTGAGGGAAGTGGGAGTGGAAGCGAGAGGGGATACAGTAAAACAATTTTAGCAATAGATTAGTATCGTGTATTTCGGTTCCCGTAGACGATGTACTTGTAGACGATAAACGTTACAATACTTTGTTAAACAACTCTGGCCCTGAAAACTACCGACAGTCAGTTGCTCAAAAGACTGTATTATGAATCAGAAAAAATTTGCTGATTCTCGAATCTGTATTTACAAAATTAAGCTTGAAAGATTATGTTGTTGAAATTGTTCATTGCTCTTTCCTTTTAATTTTGATCAACTTCTGCTTTTCCAGTCGATCACTTTAAAACGCACACACATAACACAGTCGGAAAAAAAGCGGTTTTTGATGTTTTTCAGTGAAAAGTTCAAAAAGCATTTGACAGTTTTTTCTTCTTCTTCTTCTTCCTCTCCAGCAATTATATCAATTTTTGACCAATTTATTTAGATACAAATAATATAGCATACTTCAGACATTGGCAGCTACACCAAAACTTCGTACTTTTTTCTCTTTTTCGTCTTTTTGTAAGAAAGAAAGAAAAATAGCCAAATAGGTTTAAAAAGAGAATTTTTCTTTCATATATCAATGAAATCTAGAGAGCCTAAATAATTGTCAGTTCGTTTTTTCCCTGTGCAGAAGACTGGTTAAGGTGATAAAGTTTACCACCTTAATCAATCAACCAGTTTTTTTTTTTTTTTTTTGAAGGGTCTATGCAGAGGAAGATATGTGTCAATGTTGAGGCTCACTGTAGGCAAAACAAAACGGCGCAAATTGAGTGTGATATATCAGTCGGAAATTTTTTGAGTTCAGCTAAATACGAATTACGATGAACAAGTTGAAAGGACAGAAGAAGTCAATGCGTTGGAGTGGACGGACAGGAGTTTGGAGGGGGAACGGGCAACATAGCTAAAATGTGACAACAATTTGATAAGCCAAACATCATCTGTTTACTGTATATTTGCTCTTATTAGTTGAGGCCTCGAGGAGGCTCAGTTGCACTTGATGTCTTGATCAAAGACGTACCTTATTTTTTTTTCGCTGCTCCTCTTTTTAGTGGTCGTTAACACTGCTGTGATCTTCAAAAAAATGGTCAAATATATTGTAGTGTAAAAAAAAAATGAGGAGAAGCAGAAGGATAAAGTTTAGGTTGATTAACTCTTTGCAATTTTTGCTGCTGTTTTTGTTAATCTGTCGGTTACTGATGGTAATGATCATTGAATAAAACTGATATACATTAAGGGTACGGAATAAAAACAATTTTTTTTTTTGCTGTTGTTGTCAAAACCCAGTTCTGATTCCTAAAGTTGTCGATACTGTCTGTTTATTTATTAAACATTGTTAACGTCCGGCATCGTTGTGCAGCATCTGCTTTTGAACCGAACGAACATCTCGCTGAAATTTTTATGCTCATTTGGTTGTTTTTGTCATGTTTTTTTTTTTTTTTTTTTTCTGCTTGCTGTGAAAAATTTTTGATTGGGTTTTGTTTTTATGTTCGTTTTTTTTCGTTTTTTCTTTTTCTTTGTCATTTTTAGTAGAATAATTTTATATGCTATTCATAAAATTGAAGATTTTTGAGTAAAATAATTGAAAGAAAATTTGTTTAAGATTAAAATTTCTAATACTTTTTAAAAACAACTTCGAATTAAGCATAACAGAATAAGAGTTAAAGGTGCAGTGATGTTTGTGAAATCGTTTGAGATTGTATGGTTGTGTTGCTGTTAGCTTTAATGAAATACTCATTTGGAGTTTCCTTTTTCCCCCCCTTAACTTTTTTCTTCTCTCTCTTTTTTTTCTTTTGTTTAATATTCTACTGAGAGTAGGACAAAAATCTTTCTTCTACTCTTTCCCCACTTGCTACCTTCTATGCATTTCATTGTATTCACATGCAGCGAAGAATCCCGCTAATCCTGCAGATTATTTCTTTAGTTTCCTGTGCAATTATGTTTCGTTTAGCAAAAAAGAATTTTTTTTTTTTAAACTATGAATGGTTTAGTAACAACGTTTTGTTGCTGTAATCCTACTCGCCTTATCAGACTTCTAATATCTGCTATTAACGATGACGAATCGATCCTATGGAAACCCAGTTACTTCTAGGCGTCACTTATGGAAGGCATTTTGGAGCGTTCAAGATTGTGAAGTTGGGGCCTTGGTAAGTTGTTTTTCATCAGTTGTTCACAAAGGCTAAATTATTTATCTGCGTGTCTTCAGATTAATTGTACTGTGAATTTGAGTTAAAAGATTATAAATTTCTATGTAAAACTCATGAAAAGTTTGACAATAAGGAGGTTTGTTGCTAAAACTAATGGACATCATTTGACAGCAATGATTTATCCAAAAATTTTGCTTAACTAATTAGATTTTGATTTTAGCATCTTTTAGGACTGTTTTAATCGTCGTTATAGTTCGTTAGCAATTTTTTTGTTAGTAACATTTCTTAAGTAAAGTTAATAAATTTGAATTTTCAAGAGGTTAGTTCAAAAAATATTTTTTTGCTGAGGCGAGAGATAATATTTTTGACGTTACTATTTACTTTATTATTATTTTATTCCTTTGGTAGAGTCGTTGTTCTTCTGTTACTTTTATACGTTGGTATTTTTCGGCATATAGCCCTATTAAAAAGCAAGGCACAAGTTTGCGAGCCAGTAACTATAAGTACGTCTCGCTTTGTGAGCCGATTTCTTATTTCACCTTGGAACTGGCTCATTTCTTCGATTAATTTCTTTGATTAAATCAGTGGGTGCAAGGGCGTGAAGTTTGCTTGTTTATATGGCTTATGATGCGTTTTTATGACAAGTTACAGGATTTAAGTGGGTGTTTTTGCGGGTTGTTTTGAAGTAAGTCAGTTTAAGGCTAAAGTTTGTTCATAAGTCTTATCCAGTTGTAGCGTTTTTAATTTCTTAATCCTTGTAACTTTGAAAAATGATAATTTTTTACTGCTCGCTCTTATAAAATTGTCTGGGTTTACTTTTTACCGAATTTACCTTGAAATTTAAGAGTCTTCTCATTATTTTGTGCCATACAGTCTTCAACACGTCTTTATTTTTAAAAATATAAGAATTTTTGTGGTATACTTGGTACTAGACCGTATTTTCTCCGCAGTTTGAATCCCTTTTTTTGTTGTAATTAACGGCTGCTGAGCTTCTAATTGTTCGTACGTCTTATATTTCGTACTTTCGAAAATGACTTTAAATCACCTCTTTAACTGTTGAAACCGATAATATTTTTCCAGGGGAATATTCTTTGCTCACTCGCTACTTTGTAGGTAGAAGTGATCTCATTACAGTTAAATATGTGGAATAGATTTACATGAAGTAATGTAAATGGCTTTACGTGGAGTGACCACAGTTTAAGTTTTTTATGATATTAATCAGATTAATTGCAGGATTCTGCAGCAAATAATGGTTACAGCGATGTTAATTATGACACTGACTTACAGTGCATTTACAACCGGGAGCTTGAAGGAAGCAGTGAGTTTCGTTGTACCAGCTGCGGACGAAGCAATAAGAAAGGTGAGTTCTACTTAGCCGGATTTTCGTGGCCATTAAAAGGCAAAGACAGAATATTAAATTCAAAGAAGCCAGCTTAGGTTTTCCAAAATTGTTTTAAATCATAACTTGCTTTCATTTGTAGCAGTTCTCTCACTTCGTTCTGACACCGGCCAAACGTCACGCCATGTCTTGCCGTATGATTCCTTGCTTAATGCGACTGTGGTGCATATTGATCACAAAGAAAACAATCTTTATGTTAGGCCTGACGTCTTCCAAGAAAAAGCAGCGGTTTTAGAAACTCGCTTACGTTGCGTTTCATTTGATGTTCTTGAACCGCTGGGATCACGGAATGTTAGAATTGGTTGGACATCTTGTTATTCTCGTTATATATGACCGTTTTTTCATTTTGTCAGGGCACCTTTTCTCACTTAACTATTTGTTTATTGAAAGTCTGATGTAATTCACACCTTTACACTACACCTATGTCTCGTCATCTTTTTGTTTTCTTCAGCATATTTTTGGTTTTTAATAATTTTCTTATTCAGGCCAAGTATATCTTGTCTTCAGTTCAGTAACCAAGTGTTTTGCACGTGCTGTTTGTGGGCATATGAAATATACACACCAGAATATAACACGCTATCAGGTTAGAAATTTCAGAGATTTTCAAGATTATTAGCATAAGAATTATTGTCGCTAGTCGTTGTACTTTTACAATTTGTTTTTAATAAATGGACAAATTGTGAAGCATCCGCCTCGGGTTTCCGTAAAATTCTCTTTTTTCCATTGCTGCAATCAAGGTTGACTGAGTACCTTTTGAGAAATAAAATCGGTGCACTTATTTTTAGATGTATTTTGTCGATGATGGACGTTTGGAATTTGTTGAACAAAAAGATGTTTTCTTGCTCCCCTTTGCACTAGGAGTGATTCCGCCTGTGTGTGTTCCTCTGGATCTTGCAAACTGTAGTAAAAGTCTCGCGTTTTCGACCTGCGTTGATCATTTTCGTTCATTACAAGTTGGGTCCAGGATTGTTTTTGCGTTAAAAAGTAATCGTTTTCTATTTTTACTAAATGAGCATTTCAAGCGATTGTTAATTGAGTAGTTAATAGAGTATCCCAACTAAGAGTTGTTGTAGTTCGTTATTTTCTTTAAGGTCAAACGGTGGAGGATGATCAGGGTGGAGGTCAAAGCAGTTACCAAAATGAAAACTTTCCTTTAACTTTCACATCCAAAATATTTGTTGGTGACACTGTGAGATTTGAAATAACTTGTCCTAAGGTAAATATTTTTCTGCTTAACCATTATTTTGCATGTCTTTCGCAAAAACCTCGGCTTATTTAGGCTTGAATTTTGACAACTTAAAATGATGCTTCAATTTTTTGAAAGAATTTCTTCTATCATTTGTTCACATGCTTTTATTTTATGATATGCAGGTCTTTATTTAAATATGACGTTTTTTTGCTGAATTATAAATTTTTTATACATTGAACGACTCTTCAGTGAACAAGTGGCAAAAGCGTTTTGTAATGAAATATCACGAGTAAAAATTTTTTTGTGTGAAAAGTGTTGTAGATTTCCATTGCTTTCTCTATCTACTGACTGGCCAAGTGGGGAGGCGTTAATTATAGTTACTTATTTGATACCATGTAGTTTTGTGCTTGCAAAAAGGAATGCTTGGATGAGTTTCATCCACTGCGGATGCTAAGGAATAACTCGCTTTTTTGTGTGTTTCGTTATTATTTCAATAAATTGATTACTAAGCTGCCAAAAACCATTTCTTTCTCGCAAGCTTTAACAAGGGGATAGTATTTTTGGTTCGTTTCTGTCGCTACCATAAAAGTCGTGCTTCCACTTCCAGTGGTTGCTCATAGGTCCTCAGTTATGAAAAATTCCTCCGACTACTGCTTTTTTATTTCAGAACGCTCAGGTCGACTCTGGATATGCACGTTTCAGTTACGGTGCATTACAAGATCAGTGGTCTTCTTTTTCTGCATTTCCGTCGCTAGCACGGCAGAAGATTCTGCCGTGTGACACAACAGTTCGCGTTGCGCGAAGATGTGATCGAGAGGGTATATACTGGATGGTTGATGAAAGGCTGTTGCAGTTTGTTGAAGAGGTACAGTATTTGAACAAAAATTTTAAATTTTAAAAGAAATTTGAGTTATGAAGACTTATCAAATGAGAAATTAAAGTTTTTATGCATTTTTGTTTTTTAATGAGCGTGGCTGAAAACTTTTGAATAGGTATAGCATTTGTGGAAATTTTGAGGGAGGCAGTATAAATTAACGTTACATTTCCACTTTAATTAACCGGTAGTGTTAATGGCATACTAACTGGCATTGCGAAGGAGGCTGGTTGGTCGTGAGAGTTGTGGTCGGTTTGTTTACCTGCAGTGAGTCTTTTTTGAAGCTTTTGCTGAAGATGAAAAATTGCTGCTAAATTAGAAGCCTTTATAGGAAATATTTTTTGTTGTCTGAAAAAAAGCTGCGACTTGTCAAGTGTGCAACGGAGAATATATGGTTTTGAAAAAGGATACATCTGTCTTTCAGAGGTTTTTCCAGTGTTCAAAGTATAAGTTTATTGGGAAAAAGTGATGGACTCTTGAGTACTTCCTTTAAAAAGTACTTCAGTCATGAAGTTGTGAAAGCAGGGACGGACATCACAACATATTAACTATTTCCATTTTAAATGTGTTTTTATTCTTTTTGTTGAAAGCTTGATGTCTTGTTCGTTTTGTCAGTTTGAAGTAGAGAAGTTTTTTCACATTACTTGTAGCTCTTTATTCTAATATTTGATGTCTTTTTGACCGAAGAATATCGCTGTTTTAGATTCTTACACAGCCGACAAATTTCCTCGCTATTGAGGAGTCGCATGTGAAACTTTATCCTTGTCTTGCGCATGTTAAAGTTGATGGTGAATTTGGTCGGTCCACATATTGCAGGTATTGTAAAGTCTTAATACTTTTTCATAATTCATCTTTCAAAAGAGTTTTGCAGTTTCTTAACGGGACTTTTGTGTGAATGGCAGAATGATTATGTGTTTGCTTTTGAAATTCTTTATGTAGGTTTGTTGTGAGGTTTACTTAACTTCAGATTGCCTAATTAAATATCCCTTAGCAGCGCATTGGCCTTAAAAACACGAAGTCGGGTGTTGCTCTGTTTGTCGTAGTTCCTTCTTTAAAAAAGAGAAGCACTACGTTTCTGTTTGATTTGCGTTTGAGCTTTTTTCTTTGAAAGCTTTTTTGGCATTTTTTACTTGGTTGACTAGGCGTTGCGGATTATCCAGGTTTTTTCTTCTTTGTTTATGTCTTTCATTTTGCTTTACTTCAGGGCTCTACTTCGTAACTTCAGTCCAAACTGCAGAAGATGCAATGTGTTTTTAGTTGATTACGCAAAGTTTGTGACATGTGATGTATTTTCACTTTTTACGCTAGAAGGCCAGGTCTTGAATTTTTTTCAATTTCTATTCAATATTTTACTTAAATTGAAGGGCTAAGATTAATCTTAGATGTAATTTTTTTTAATATCTTACTTTCGTTACTGAATATGTTTCCTTTCTTTCTGAGTAAAAAGGTCTTAGTAACGTAAGCGCCACAAAAACTTAGAAAATTGGTTTTAAGCCTCAGCAGGTGTACGAGACTCCGGCTGCCGCATTTTTATCTGTGGTGCAAAATCGAGATGCAAATGGAGTGGTGCAGCAGAGCCGTGCTTATGTAAGTCATATTGCATTCAAAAAACTTTAGCCTAATAAAAATGAATTTTGGAAGGGGAGTTCGCTCGTTTCACAGAGCTCTTGGCTTTAATTCTGAAGTTTTTGAAGATAGGTGCTGTACTCCTGAACCCTTGAAAATCTCTAAATTTTAAAACAATCAACTTTCTTGCAATAACTGTCTTATGGTTTATCTGATTTTCTGATTAATTCTGTTTCTAAGTCAATATAGGGTGTTCGTTTTTCAAGTGTTGCATAGTCTAACTATAACAATTATTAGGGGACTTTTCAGTTATGTGAAGGAGTGTCTTATTCTATAACTCTTCTCTCGGTAGACAGCGAAGGAATTTTTTACTCTTCAGTTTATTTTCCAACTATAGAAAATATGTTTGACTCAGTGGCCAGAAATGAACTTTGTAACATTCATAACAGTGGAGTTGGCGTCAACCAGACATTGTTGAATGGTTGTGAAAACAGTGACAATGCGGACGGTAGTTCTGCGGGTGTTAATCTCAATCCGTTTTGTAGGAGTAAAAGAACGAAAGAAGAAGATGATATTTTTGAGTAAGTATTAAATGTACTTCAAACATGTTAGTTTCAAAACTTGATGCGTGCAAAAGACATAGCTTTAGTTTTGGATAATTTCTAAACGGCCTGTAACTGCATTCAACTAGTAACTTAAATTTATCTGTTATTGGGAGAATGTTATTTCTTGTGGTTGAAGTGGTGGTATATTATGTAAGTTCGACTCAAGAACTTACGTTCAAAAACAGTTATTCAGTTTTGCTAATGTTTATTTTTTAAATCTGTTCAGAAGGAGAAATTTTAGTGTAAAAGGAGCTTTAATGAAACTGGAGGACAAAGTGACCAAGTACTATGACGATCTCTATCGTAAATTAGAAATTCTGAGCATGGTTAGCAAAGCCAATTTATTTGTCACTTGCATTAGAAGACTTTTGGAAATTTTGGTAGTAACTGTTTTTGAGGGGTAACTGGTTTCTAACTTATTCATTTTCTTTTATTCTTGAAAATTTTTATAAAAGTTGTAGAAAACTAACTCAGTTGTAATTTGCAGCATGAGCGCGACTTATTACGAGAGGCTAAATACTATAAAACGACTCCGTTTTCAAGGTTAGCAACTTATTTTCTATTCGTCATTTAGACATGCATTTATCCTAATCTAATTTTTTGAGGCGTTATAGCTTAAGGAGTGAATTCACACTAATTTTTTAGGGCAAAGAATGGAGTGACGCCTTCAAAGTATTCAAAAATGGATAGGAATATTGGGAAGTTACCTGTCTATTCCAACCGTTATCTTGGCAAAGAAGATGACACGATCCAAAAGAGTAGTTGTGCTGATAACCATAATGCAATACGAATTGAAAAATTCAAAAAAGTTGTTTTGTTTGTGCATATGCTTACTATTTCCTTATTTATTCAGAAAAGGATTTGTTTTTTTTTTAAATAGCCACAAATTACAGCTGCGGGATTTCGAGTTGGGATTGTTAAAACAACGTCAGACCACTAAAATTCAACTTCGTAACTGTTCAAGGGAGAAAAGTTTGTCGATTCAATTTTCAAATTGTTTAACTAAATTTATGCCTTGTGTTATTTTTTTGATTATGTTTGCTTATTTTGTAGGCAGACCAACTTCAAGGAAGCATGAACATGCTCTGGTTTGTTTTGTTTCGTTCCATAAAAGTTTTTGATCTTAATGTATCGGTTTTATTCAGTTTAGAGAAGGAAAGTTTCATTTGTTCTGTGAATGGTGTACCGTACAATGGTTTTTTCAATTGTTTGTTCAATTTTTTGGTTTAAGAGGAATGGATGTGGAGAATCAGATCATAAGGAAGGCTTCGTAGTAGAAGAGTTTCGCAGAAGTGAGGGTTCTTCTTCAGCCGACTCAGGAATTGATCATAGCGATGAGGTTACTTTTTGACAGCTTTTAGAAAAGAATTCACGTTTTTCATTCTCGTTGCTGAATTTTACTTCTGAGGGGACTCTCTCACTTGATTTCATTTCATAAGTTTCTTTTGTGCCTTAAGAAAGTAAGTCTTTGAACAAAAGCTTAATTCTGTAGATAGGACGTTCCATTAGCAGAATTTTGGACAGGATTTGCTGAATGGCCAAGTAAAATGAATTTGGCACAGCAGATTAATCATTTAGTTCTTATTATTGGTGCAACTTGTAATGGTGGTGATAGTGTGTTTGTCCTCAAGAACGAGAATTACAGGTAGACTGCCACGCTGTTAGTTAAGTGCCTTTGTAATTGCCGTCTTAAATGTCAGTGTAGAAAAACCGCTGATGTTTGTTTGGAGAAGTATTATTTCACATTATATATTTTCTGCTCTTCAGGAAGATTTCCTCATTACTTCTTGTACTCGTTAACTTTATTTTCTATGATATAACATTCTCAACTGTCGTTTTCTTTGTTAATTAAATGAGGAATAAAATTCATGTCGGTGTTGATCTGACAATAATGGCTTTCATAAAATCTTGTTTGCTGTTCTCAGAATTAAATGTTCATTTACTTTGTTTATTTCTCATCCTCTGCCCTCCGCTTCCTCATTGAGACAATTGCAAGTTTTCGTTTATGGTTCATCTTTAAATGATCAGGTTCTTTAGCATTCGCCAAGTCCGCGTGCTTCATCGCCTAATGCAGAGTCACCAATTGGGAAGTACAAGGCTTGTTTCTATTTTTCCGGATTTATTTTCTTTCACTGCTTTTTTCTGATGTTTTAGGAAGGGATTACTGAACTTAGTGCATTAAAAATTGATACAGTCCCGTGTGCTTATAAGTTTTGAATAGGTTTTATGTTTAAGCCCTTATTCAACCATACAGTCGTTCTGAGTGGAGGGCAGTATTGGGTCAGGCGCTCAGATGATGATTATGCGTGCTTACGCTGGCCCTTGTTCTTCGTTCATATTCTGTCTGATGAGAATATGGACTTTCTAGAGCAGCACCTTGATTCGATTCAGGCTTCCATTCACCTTGATGTTTCGGAAATGGTAAAGTCTATTATAACCTTATTGATTCACCCAAGTAAGTCAATTGTTCTTTCTGTTTGTAACGCGAACAACATCTCGCTTCTGACTTCGTAGTTGAATGACTTAATTTTTCTTCTTTTAGTAGTTTAACGTGCTGATGGCTTTTAGATCGTTTCTTTTTCAGGAACCTGGTACGCTTTGCGTTGCGTATTGCTCCAAATACAAAGCTAAGTTTCGTGCTGTTATCAGCACTGTCAAGTCGGAAGCGTTAGAAGTCTTTTACGTTGACTACGGTAATTATGAATGGTTAAAGCCATCGAGTGTCTACTCTATAGAGCATCTTGTAATTTTTTCATTCTATTGTGTTCTTGAAAGCTGGTCCGCTTGAGGCCAAATCGATTCGAATTATTGCACTCCGCATACAGCTCATCAACTTTTTAGGTCATTCTCATCTATTTTAGAGCCATGCACTTAAAACTCACCCAGGTATGGCAATCCCATGCATACTGTCACCTTTTGATGTCGGGAATTTCTCATTTGAAGAGAACTGTAAAATTAGAGAAGCATTCAAGGAATCAGTGGCTTCCGAGGATGACTTATTTCGTCTTCGTTTTGTAGCTCAACGTGCTGATGGCGTCTATGTGGTAGAAAGATGTGACGTGTAATAATGTTATACTTGTGCAGTGTAGGATTGTTCTAAATTAACTGATGAAGAATATTGTTTTTTTTTTTCATTTACGAGTCACTCTTTTGTTTGCATATACTTTTTTCAAGTTTGCTTTACGAATTTTAGTTGCGTGCTGTCAGCAACAGTAATTACGACCGTATTTTAATCATTTGCAGTTCCTTTTGTTTTTTACCTTTAAACCGTTTATAAGTTCAAATTGTTTGGAAACTAGTTGTTTTAATGAATTAGACTAAAGACTTCATGATTTTTGTCATCCTTGTTTGTATATTTGAAGCTGACGCAATTTTTTGTTCTTCAAATGGTGATTTTGGTAAAGTTGTTGTTTATTGTTTGTAATGCTCCAAAATGGCTAGCAAATAAAGTTTATGGGCTAGACTGAATTGGTTTTTTGAAAGACAGCCAGTTTCCCTTCATTGTTTTACTGGCCGAAATAGAAGTACCTAAAAGTTGACATTTGAAACGGGGTTTTCTGGTAGCGACCCGTTTCCTGTGTGAACCAAGAGTTCAAGTTCTTTCTTTGCAAAGTTCGGCAGCATTTACGTTTGAGATTCGGGAAGACTGAAAAAGGTTTTGTTTTCCGATTTCCATCAGAATCTTACTGGAATATGTTAGACGTGATAGAAGCGCAGTTTGGGGTCATGGTCTTCGTATTCTGTAACGCATTACGCTCACAGTTAGAAAGTACTTCAATGAGTAAGAGGCAAACGAGAGACTTGTGAACTTGTACTGAAATGAGCTATCAAGCCTAAAAAGTTGCAGTGCAATTCGCTTTGAAGCGTGTAATAAAGTTGCGTATGGACAAGTAGTGTGCAAGTAACTTAGCCATTAAATTTTATTGCTGCCGTCGGGTCAATCAGCTGAGAACCTTTGACAGGTAACCTTAAATTTCTGCCCGACAATTATTGTCAAACCTTCAATTCTGTGAATTATCTTTCCGCAGCAAACTGAGGTAAAAGACAATAAGAAACGGTAGACAGCAGATACAGGTACTTGGCAAACTAATTAAGCTAATTAATTTATTAGCTCATCGACTGTAACATCTACGTTAGACAGAGGTGTAACCTTGCCCTGTAAAAAGCACAGTGATAAGAACATCACTTTGCAACACGAAGAGAGTTGGCGCATGTATGTCCGTCATTCTTTTGGACGAAAACTGGAGGGGCTTTGTAAAAAATCAGGCTTTAAAGTGTTTCTCAAGCAAAATTGTCTAATCATACATTTGCCACTTCTGCGCGACATTTATAGACCCCGGGTGACCGAATTCTCTCAATTTAATTAAAAGTTTCCTTAGTTTTTGTATACCTCTACAGATACTGATTTTACGTCAGTTTATCACGTAAGTGTCGTGAAGTTATAGCAGCTTCAATTTTCCGCTCACACTATCAACCGTCTCAGACGGGCCAAAGATACCAAGAACCGTGCGCGAACCAGCTGGAATCTGCGTCCTTCCAGCATCAGAAACGACATATACGAAAAGCCCCTAAAGTAATAATTGGAGATGAACTGGTTACAAGGGGTCAAAAAGGATTTCGCCGACTTCAATACTTACTGTTGTGTGGCTGGTATTTTTGTAAACCAGAGGTTAAAATAGGTAAAAAAAAATGAACTACCTTGTCCCTTGATTCTTTGAATAATTCAAGTAAGTGATCTGTGCTGTCTCCTTTGACAACCACCTTCATTTCGCCAACCGAGCGCCACGCTGTCAACGCCTGCTGCCCCTTAATAAAAAAAATTTGATTAAATAACATTAAGAAATTTGTGCAACTGCTAGTTCACTCATTAATATACCAAACCAATCAGGAAACAGAACAGTTGCTTGGCCTGCTTTATACGTGGTATCAAAAAATCTACAGGCAAATTTAATAAGCAGCCTTATCTGTACAGTACAAAAAAAATTCAAGTTACACCAAAGCGCTTCTGGCGAAGGAACGACTACGCTTACTGGAGTTTTTTTCAGGAAATTTTAGAAGTTCGGAATTAAAGAAGTATAGGATAGTAGGGGAATTCTGATCGGTGGACCTTGCTTAAAAACTTTAATTCTTACTTTATCAGAACGTTGAGCTAAACGGTAAACTCCAAGTGTGGCGTGGCCAACTTGTGCTGCAATTTTACCAGCTCGCATTTTCAAGCTCATATTGACAACGAAGACCATTTTATGTGGTTCAGCACTTGCTAAGGTAGACAGAAAACCTAAAACTGAAAGAAATTGAAGTCGAAATTTTGACAGACAAGGCAACTTATGCGGGCCATTCCGTATTAAACCAACATCTCAAATTTTCTTGCAATTTTGCTAAAGAAGAAGACTTAGCTCTGTACGTAAATTCGAATAAGTCATCTCAGTGACCAATGTGAAAGGGGACTGTATCTTGTCGGTATTACAAAAATGCACATGGTTTTAACATGCTCCACTCTTCAAAAATTGAACCACAAATTTCTTAACAGAATTTCTTCTAATTCCAAATTTTTTTGGAGTTCTAGTTCCTCTGAACCACAGGAAGTAGCAAAGAAATTCCACCTCAAAACAAGCTAAAAAATACTTGATCTTCAATTTCGCTCCAAAACTGAAGGTCAAATAATCCCAGAGCACACGAGAAGAGGTGAGTCATGAAAAAATGAGTGAGGGGGCGGTGGTTCACTAAAATAAAATATCTGCCATGCCCCTGAAAGTCTTCCGTCTGTACGTGGAAGAACTTAATACTGGAATTCTTCAAAACAGAAAATGGCATTACGGTTCAAATTTTATGGCCTTAGCTCACTCGTCTTTTCATAATTCACTTGCTCATCTGCGGTTTATGCTAAAATAACTGCATCTTGTCAAGAAAAAATTTCGCCAGAAATTTCGCTGAAAAAAGTCGAGGACTAAATACATTTTTACCTACTTTACAATATCGTCTGTTATTTTGGAACTTTCAATGAAAAATTAAGTTTCTCGAAACGCAAAGCGCGAAAGAGACACCATTTTTAATCATTTAGCTTTTGTAAAGAGCGATGCAAGTAATGACCTTTTGAGGTAAGCCACTTTTTGTGAAAACTGTTCTCCATAAACTTCTTAGCTTTGTTAGGGTGCTTAAATCTAAAAACACATGGTGGTAGTTTCAAGTGTTTAACCAAACCCCAACAAGATCTGAAGAGTTAACTGGGAAACAAGGTCGATTCAGTTTAAAGTGGCCCGTATATATCTTCATAATAAAAATAAAGGAAGAAAGAAATGCATCTTGAAGAAATATTGGTAAATAAAGTTTAGTTTAATATAAGATAATTATTAAAAAACATGAAAGGAAATCAACAAATTAAAAATTTGAGTGTGACTGGAAAATTAGTAGAAAACGGTAGCAATTTACTAGAGAACTCGAATACAATACTTAATACAACATAGTACTCACTACACAGGATCGGGATGAATAAAAATTAAGTCAGAAAGCTGCAAGGGTGAGCGATCCCTCGGAGTTGTGAATCTTTCTAAATCCACAGGGAAAGTCGATAATAA